TCCTCCTCACAGAGCTTTGCAGCAAGGTCTTCAGGGATCTTCTTTGCTAACAGACACAGTTCTGTATTTGACCTTGCTGTCAGGTCTAAAAGTGGCTGCACCTTCCTTTCATGCATATCTTTTTCTGATTGTAACAGTGGTATATGGCCATTGTAAACATTTTTGGAAAAAGACACCGGTAATCTCAGTCCATAACACTTTTTCCTCACTGAAATGTTTCTAAGACAACTGCCTTGTTCCTTTCCTCCTATTCTCTTTCCTCCTGTGTCAGTTTACTTGCTGGATACCTCTATCTTGCAGGTGTGGGGGCTAAAAAAATTAGTACTTTTTTTTTCCACCTTTGAAGTTTTTCTAGTTGAACTACTATTCAAATTAACACAGACAGATAAAGAGGAGAAAAGTAAAAAATTTTAATACTTGTACATAGGGAATTCACATATGCATGAAAATTCCAAAGACAGGCAACATTGGGTATGTATGGCATTTTGGACAAAAGAGGAAAAGGCAGCAGCGAGGGCAGGGTGGGGACTGGTATTAGATTTCTGAATCGAGAATGCGTGATTTACAAGTAGTTGAGGAAGAGCCAACTATGTATGGCAGGAAACTTTTTGCCAGGCAACTCAAAGACAGCGGGACACAGAGGCTGTCTAGCTAGCCTGCCCCTTCCTAAAGCTCTCTTTTTCCCCCCCATACTTAATTCAAATTAGGCTACTCGGACTAAGGTGAACATCCTAAGACTGTCTTCCTGAAAAGGAGGGGGTAAGGTCCAAGGTTCTTTCTGAGTTTTGTTTCTTAATAAACGTATTAAAATCATCTCCAAAAGGGGGATGAAGAAGCTTCTGGGTAGCAAAATTTTGGTTCCCTTCACAAGCAACATCTGTTAAAATGGAGCTTACTCTTGCTTTCCCTGCTCCAAGTGTGCTCTGCTGCCTTTGCTGCCATCTCAGTAACAGGCGCTCCTCTGCATCCAGTGGTGAAGCGAGGAGATGCGGACTGTCTTTGACTCCTCTCCTTCAATCCCCGTGTATAATTAGTGGCTAAAACTCTGCCTTTTCTTCCTTGCTGATCCATTTTGCTTGTTGTCTTTCCACTCGGGGCACCTTAGCTTAGACCCTGATTCTTTCTCACCGACCTCAGTTTTCTAGAAGCACCATCTACGTTTGAACCTCTTAGGTCTTCATTATATCCCTCCAGGGCTGAGTTTAGAAAATCAGGGCTTCTCTGACCTCTTTCTACACCCGCAAAACTGAGTTTGGTGCAGCTGGTGCCTTCTCCTCCTTTCAAACACTCCTTCCTTCTTTTTATCCTCCCACGTAGCCCACCCAAGTCTCCCAGCACCCCACTACCCTTATAACATATATCACATTCTGTTGTAATGGCCTATTTACTTTTCTCTTTCCTCTAAAGCAGAGGTTAGGTCTTATTCATAATTGTACCAGTAATAATCAGCCCAGAGTGTTCAGTAAATTTTTGATAATGGACAGGAGGAAATGGGTGGCAGTTAATATGAAAAAATTTTGAATCTGTTTAAATTTTGTGTCTTAAAGTGGTACGTTTGGCCTTTCTTCATCTGTTCCTATAGTGATGGCTCTGTGAACGAGCTTCCAAAGTGTGAAGCATGGTAGTAGGACAAAGCAGGAGTGAAGCTGGTCGGCTGGCTGGGGCAAGCTCCACCACCTGGCATTGTGGGGAAGGCTAGGCTTTCCTGTAGGTAACAGCAGTGTAGCAGAGATAAGGTGGCTGTTGAAACTAGGGTGGTTCTGCCAGGGATGAAGAAAAGGGAGTATATTAGTGACCTGGTGAATGGGTGTGGGGTCAGGGAGGGGGAATCGAAGTGACTGACTCAACTTTCTGGCTTAGTTGACTAGGTACTTGATGTTATCATCAACTAGTTGTGTTGATTTTTGAGATTCTTGTTGACATCCAGGTGAGTGTGTCTGCTAGGCAGGCAGGATACGAAGCTTGGCAGAGCCCAGCAGTGGAGGGTCATCAGTTTGTAGTGGTGAAAAACTACAAGGGATCACTGAGCTACTTGGCTTAAGAGTAGGAATAGCCTAGAAAAACGAGGAACTCTGAGGAACACTGATTGAGAGCTGGGGGAGAAGAGGAGAGAGTTGGGAAAAGGCAGTATCAAAGAAACGAGGAGTTGAAGTTGAAGGGGAAATTTGATGATAAGAAAAAGCCATAAAATTTTTCCTGCTTTAAAGAGAATAACAAGAAAATGGGTCTGTCTTTACCCAGCTGTCAGCTGTCAGAATATAAATGCTTCAGCATGGACTTCTGCTTGGCTCTTTGCTGGGCAGTCCCACCTCACCCCTGTGGGGGCCGCCCAGCAACGCGGCCCAAATCTGGAACCCCCAGCACTCCCGCACGAGGTCTCACACATGAGCTTTAACGTTCTGTCCTAGTTAAATCTAAGGTTAAAAACAGATTCCTGGGCCCAGTCCCAGAAATTCTGACTCAGTGGGCCCAGGGGTCTTAAATTTTTACAAGGACATTTCTGAGCATATCAGAACAGTCATGTGTAGGTAGGTGCTATAACCCTACATTTATTTGCAAGACAGCAGGACTTTTTATGGTGAACTTTAAAAATACAATTGTGATAAAGAGATTGGCAACCATGGAAACCTGGCTGGAGCTTCTCACAGTGCCTGTTTGAGGGAGTTAGGTGGGGGTGGGGACGGTGCTACCATCTGCTGTAGTCTGTTGGAGATGGAAAGTTTTTATTTTATGGATTTTGCAGCAAATACTCCTGGTGCCCTGCTCATGTTGGTGGGGTCCACCACTGATTTCAGCCAAAACCCAGTTTCTTACTCTAAAGTGTTGCCAATACATTTCTATTTCCTCCCTGGGGGCCTTCAAGGCTTGCAAAGGAAGGAAAGAGGTTAATCCAGGACACCTTCAGCCAGTTTGGAACTTGAGCCTAAATGTTCTTTCTCACTCAAGGGACCCACAGAATTGTCCCCCACCCTCCAGCAGTCACTCTGATTGCATCAAATGATCTTATTAGCTAACCCTCTTGTACTGTTCCTTCCCTCCCTTCTGTTCCCTGGGATCATCTCCTATTTAATCCTGCTAAAACCTTATCTATTATTAATGCATCATTTGAGCTGACTTCACAGGTTAATAAATGCAAGCAAGGCCTGCTGTAGTCACTTTCATTTCTTCCTATAGTCCTTGTCTGTCAATTTAGCACCTAAAATAATGTGTGGGGGAGGAAGGCGAATAGAAGAACATATTGTGCAATGCAGAATGGTACACACATTGCTGAAGTTTAAATTTATCCACAGACATTCTGTAATGAGATCATTATGTGAGAATGTATTAGATTTTTTCAGCAAACTCCATTTTCATTTTACTTAGAGAGGAGTTGAAGGGATATGGAAAAACCAGAAAATTGTTGATGAATAGATAGCACTATATGTGTCTCTTGTTCATTTTATCATTTTTTATTTTATTTATACATCTTCATCTTGTTCTTGAAGAATTCTGACTGGTTCTTTTGTAAGACCAAATTATAGAATATATAATAGAAACTAAATGTTACAGTCCAGGAAAGGGGAACATCTTTATAGGTTTAAGGTATAAATTGCCAAAGATCTATTTCAGGGATAACTTTCAAAATATACTTTGTGTGCCTTAAATGCAAGACTTCTCTTTACCTAGCTGGAAGATACTCATTTCCACATTCCTTCTTTTAGCAGAGACTGGGCTGTAGGAATTAAAAGTTGAAATGAAAGGTACACTTGTTCTGGATGATCACTGTCATTCTTCATGATTAAAACTGATAACTGAAAGCAGTTACCGTAGAGGTGCAGCAACACTGCAGTAAAGGTCCAGACACACTGCAGTGAAGTTTAAGGAGCTAATGAGAGAGGAATGTGTGTGCTGAGTTGCCCAGAATGTGTATCTTAGACTGGTGTTCCCATGAGTGAGAGTAGGTAAAATGCCATGTTCTTAACCGCTCTTGCCTCACTGCCACAAACTCGGAAACTGAAGATGTTTATGTTGGTCTGTAGGTTTATTTTGTAGGAGAGCAGCCCATCCCTATAGTACACTTTCTTCAGGGTGCTCTGTGTAGCAGTGGGCTGTTTTGACATACAAATTGATGACATCATTAGGTAGATAACCTAGGAGTCTAACTCCTCAGTTAATGTTTCAGTGCAGACTTGGAAGGAGGAAGTGACCAGGTCAAGGTAGAATAACCCTGTGTAGTTAGTTAGTGATATGGCAAGTACTAGAACTCAGATCTCTGCATGTAATCGTTTTTCTGTCTAATTTCTAAAACAGCTCCCAGCGCCACCCCAGGTCAGGGAACAGAAAAGGGAAGGCACTTGTTCTGAACTAGTTCCAAATGGGTTTTAGAATTAATAAGGATTATGGGTTCCAGATTTGATTTATGATATTTGCAGAAAAAATGGCAGTTAAGAGCTTATACAAATAGATTATTTAGAAAATCAAGACTAATAGATGGGTAAAGTACATAAACAAACAAGTAAAAAATTATAAACATCTAAATATGCAACAATGTGGGAATAGTTTAGAAAACAATATAACGATTTTGATAGTCTTTTGCAACCAATAAAACGCTAGTTGCAGTGACTTTGAAATAGTGTTAATCTTTCTAGAATTCTGGATGAGTTCCTTTTCTATTTTCCTTTCTTCCATTATGTGCCTTTTACTTGGTTATATTCTGTTAGCTCAAATTTCTTTATTTAATTATTTTATTTTAGGTATAGGATATTAACTAAATGTCACCTTTCTCTCTCATTCTCTTCATTGAGTCTGAAATTCACCATGGCCTATACAGCATGGAAAGTGGTTAGCTTTTGTTACTCTTGATCATTAAAAACTAGCTGAAATGAGAGTTGGTAATGATTTAGTGAACTGATAGAAAATGTTTCTATCTCTTGCTAGAACTATCTGAGTGTGAGTTTTTAAAAAAGCTTTCCTAAAAACAAAATGAGTATCATAATCAAATGTGTATTTCTTTCCTATAGAGCCTCTGTTATGCACCTAAAACCATCTTGGAATCTGCAGAAGAAAGCACAACCTCTGGAAATTAGCAAGGAAACTCGGAGAACGCCCATGAGCCACCAAGAGTCTATACATGATGGAAAATGCAAAGCTCTCTCCATGACATCAGGTGTCTTTCCTTCCACCTCTCCTGGTAAAGCATCATCTCGAAAGCCTTTTGGGATTCTTTCTCCAAATGTTCTGTGCAGTATGAGTGGGAAGAGTCCTGCAGAGAGCAGCTTGAATGTTAAAACCAAGCAGAATGCCCCACCTGCCACAATCCACCAGGGCGAAGAAGGGGAAGGGCCACTTGATATCTGGGCTGTGGTGAAACCAGGAAATACCAAGGAGAAAATCGCATTCTTTGCAGCCCACCAGTGTAGCAATAGGGTAGGATCTATGAAAATAAAAAGCTCCTGGGATATTGATGGGAGAGCTACTAAAAGAAGGAAAAAATCAGGAGATCTTAAAGAAGCCAAGACACAGTTAGAAAGGATGAGGGAAGGCAGCAGCAGGTGCTTTGAGCCCGAGCCTTTCGCATGCGGCATTGAACACTGTTCTGTGCATTATGTGAGTGACAGTGGAGACGGTGTCTGTGCTGGGAGGCCTCTGTCAGTCATACAGATGGTTGCCTTCCTGGAGCAGAGAGCCAGCGCTGCTCTGCTAGCCGGTTGTGCGAAAAACTGTACTAACTCACCTGCCATGGTGAGGATTTCTGAGCACTCCAGGGGTGTGCCGCCAGCCTCTGAGCCCTTGTCTGCCCCAGGAGCTTGTGAAGAACCCACGGAAAGGGGAAATCCTGAGGGCGGTGAACCCCAGAGCGAGCCATTGCGTGTCCTCGACATGGTAGCCAGGCTGGAGTCTGAGTGCCTGAAGCGGCAGAGCCAGCGTGAGCCTGGGAGCCTCTCGAGGAACAACAGCTTCCGTCGAAATGTAGGCCGGGTGTTGCTTGCGAGTGGCACTCAGGCTGATGAAGACAAAGCAAACAAAGGCGCTTTGGAGACACCTGGCACTCGGGTGAATCCTGTGGGGTCTGTATCTGTGGACTGTGGCCCGTCTAGAGCTGACCATTGTTCTTTTAAGGGGAAGCAGGCCTGGGATGGGGCTCCTCAGGGCTGTCCCTCATTGCCAGCAGGTGTGGCTTTCCACGTGGATAAAGCAGAATTAGAGCCAGATCAGCACACTGCTGTGAAAAACAGCAGTCGATATGATGTAGAAATGACAGAAGAAATCGAGTCACCTTTTCCTCCTGGAACCTGTCCCCAAGCCATTGAGTTGCCCACAGATGCTGTTGATTGCATGAGTAGCGAGCTCACGCCACAAATTCCTGATCGGAGAAGAAGAGAGTCTGTGTGCGTTAGCATCACTGTGTCCAAGGTGGAGGAAGACCAGCCTTCTCATTTAAAGTCCTGTGAAGACCCACTTCCAGGGAGGCTGTTTTTTTTGCCCCTAGGTCAGCAACAGTCGGACTGTTCCCAGTTGAATGAAAGCACAACAGAAGAGTCTTCAGAGGCCAGCCTGCTTGCAGATGCTGCTGAGGGTGGCGGAGCGTCTGAGGGCAAAAGTGTTTCAGGCGATTCATTCGGGCCAACGCCAGCCTCCCCTGTGGAAGGTACGGTGCCGGTACTTGAGGTGTCCAGCTGGAAGAAGCAGGTGTCTCATGACTTTCTGGAGACGAGGTTTAAAATCCAGCAGCTTTTGGAGCCTCAGCAGTACATGGCTTTCCTGCCCCACCACATTATGGTGAAAATCTTCAGGTTACTCCCCACCAAGAGTTTAGTGGCTCTTAAGTGTACCTGCTGCTATTTCAAGTTTATCATTGAATACTACAACATCAGGCCAGCAGATTCTCGCTGGGTTCGAGACCCACGCTACAGAGAGGATCCTTGTAAGCAGTGCAAGAAGAAATATGTGAAAGGGGACGTGTCCCTGTGCCGCTGGCACCCCAAGCCCTATTGCCAGGCATTGCCCTATGGGCCGGGATACTGGATGTGCTGCCACCGCTCTCAGAAGGGTTTCCCTGGCTGTAAGCTGGGTCTTCACGACAATCACTGGGTCCCTGCGTGCCACAGCTTTAATCGGGCGATTCATAAGAAAGCAAAGGGGACTGAAACTGAAGAGGAATACTGAAGTCTGTGTGAGAGGTGACCAAATGACTGACTGTTAAAACTGCAGAACACCGCCTAGACACACCGTTCAAGTGTTGCCTTTCCCAAGTCCTCGCTCTGGGAGAGTCTGCGCTTACTCCTGCAGGACTGCCATTGCTCGGGCACTTTTTAATGTACAGGCTGTACAAGAAAACTGGCCTCATTGTTTTACAGTGGCGCTCACATTTGATCCAAGGTGGAAGCCCACAGTTTGGTTCGCTCGGCTGTGAATAATCATGCCGGTTTTCCCAGATCAAATCCATTTTTAGAGGATGCAGACTTGCCACCATCAAGGACGTTTAGAAAAGTCCACTGCAGACTGTGCAGGCATTTCCCCAAAAGGGGTTCCAGAAATGTTGTGAGCACTGGCAGCGTATTTGAAGTGAGTAGTGTCCTGTGAAAAGAACAGCAGCAGTCGTGGATGAAAAGGATGCTTACGAAGGAAAAGTCAGGCACCTTACCTTAGACCTTGTATGCTTGATCCTGTGAGATTGATGTTGTGGTTGGAGGTGGATTTCATGCCCTGTGGTGTTTACAGTGTATATAATGGTTGCGTTTTCATAGGGCTGTGAAAGTGCACATTAAACCTGAGCGCCTTTACCTGAGATGAGTGCTTTTGGCCCCTCTGTAAATAACACTTAAAAATCCGGTTGTATACAGTGGACAGCTGACTGAACACCATAATCACCACAATGCAGCTAGGGTAGTGTTGCGGCTATAACTGTGTGTGTGTGTGTTTTTTTTTTAGTCTCAAGTTTGTATATCCTGTATAAAATATGAATGTTTCCCAAATAAACTATGAATGTTTTCTGTATAATATATGAATGTTTCTGAGAAGAAACTCTAAATAGTAAAGAGGTTAACCTGTTGAAAAGATACCAAATAATGGTTTAACTGGACAACTTTAAAATTAGCATAGAGAGCAATTCTCTGTTATATTTTAGTGATTCAACAAGAATGAGAGATTATATAGTCAGATTATAACATTCTGTCTATTCTGTCTGGTTACAATTTTTTTTTTAATTTCAATAAAAATATGCATCTTAAATGGGACCTGAATTGCAGATTTTTTCCTCCTTTATTGAAGTAATGAAGGATATTATAAATTGAGGTATAGGAATTAAAAACTATTTTTGAATTGTTATGGAGAGGAGGAGAGAATATTTTTTTTGCTACTGAAGAGAGACCATCTTAACACACAGGCCATTTGCACAGCCCTTTAACACTTGGAGTTTGTCATCTGCCCAGTATTTCCTGTTAGATGAGGCATTATCTGGGAGATTCTTACAGCTTCCCTGGGCATAATTAGTTCATTGTTCAGCAGTCATTAAGGATGTATACAGGCCTGTGGTTGTGTACTGCTTGGTGGGGCTGGGAGATACTGGGCCCCAGAAAGATGCCGTGGAGGATCTAAAACTAGGTGGCTTGAATTAATTACCCACCAAAAAACTGCAACCCGTGTGTGTTCTGGGCTGTGGAAAAGCAATGGTAAATGACCAGGGGAGGGGCTGATGGGTAAGTGGTGGGTGAGGGCAGTGCTGTGATGGTCCCAAAGGAGAAAGATGTGAAGGCCGAGTGGGCTTTGGCCAAGCCTGCCATGCAGAGCACTGGAGCCGGGCGGGGCCGGGGTCGCCTGTGGCTCAGGCAGTGTGTGGCCACAGCAGCTTCCAACTGGGAATCCACTTTGGTTTCCTCTCCCCTTATCCATAGGCAGTATCTGCTCCTTTCTGGGAAGAGAGCCCTAAAATTGAAAAGTGTTTCTTGATGTTGAACAGTTCTGCTCTTGTCAGACACATGATAATAATACCTCTGATAGGCTGGAGCCTGCAGGCCCTTTGATTGTGACACAGGACTGAGGAGAGGCTGAGAACAGCGTGCTTTGGTCTTCGGCCACTCCAGAGGCCCTGGTGGCGTCCTGTCCTTACCCCGTGAGAAGCTAGTGCTGCCATCTACACACCAGGAGGGAGCTGTTGCTCTGGTACCGTCTGACTTTGGCCACCAGCAGCAAGAACTAGAAGAATCCTTACACATCCCAGAACCCAGGGTATGTAAGGGATAGGTCAGGGTCAAGAGTACAAAGCTAAACAAAACACAGCCCTTCTTGGTTGGAAGAAGGGCTATTTTGTGTTTGCCTGGGGCCAGGCTATCTGACAAGCTCTTAAGAATTAGGAAACCAAGTCTGACCCAGTTGAACCCCTGCTGAGCCAGCCGGGCTCCAGCACAGAGGAGGGGATTTGGGGCCGATAAGCTCCCTGAAGCATGTATGGCCAGGGGTTTATCAGGGTTACAGCTTTGCAAACATGTCTGTTTTTACGCTGTTTTATTTTCCCACTGGATTTTAGTAATGTTATCAGTGTTCTTCCTCATGACTCACCCTAGCTGAAGTATGTTGGAAATGCTTTTTCTTTTTTAATTAACAAATATAATTACAGTTAATATACAACATTACATTAGTTTCAGGTGTGAAAGTGGTAGACATGCATGTAACATATGACGTATGTAACTTATGTAACTATGAATGGTGGAAATGCTTTTCCACCTCGGAGTCCCCTGGGCTGTTTCCAGTGCTTGTCCTCCCCTGCGGTTTGCTCAACAATGGCAGTTATCAACGTACCCTCCTATCATAGGTTTGTTACCTTTCCTAATTTAGGATTAAAGGAGACAGACAGGACTTAGAGTACAGTTTGGTGTGTCATAAGTGCCCAGTAAATGTTAGTTACCATTATTATTGGCTTTTGGTCTGTATTTGCCCAGGGTGGACACACAGGATAAACACCCTTGGTTGGTTTTCCCAGCTCAGCCTTTCCAGGGCTGGTTTTCAGTGGGACACAAAGCTGTGACTGTGAAGGGTTGAACGTACCAGGAGCAGAGGACATGGTAAGAATGGCCTAACCTCATCTTGGTGTGTAGTTCTCTCTTTTGAACGGGGTGGCAGGACCCAGTTCCCAGTGTTGTGTGTGGACCGAAACAGGATTTTAGCAGGTGGCATCAGAGGGTAGCCCCTTCCCGGTCTTTATTGCTCCCCTTAGGAGAAAGATGCTGTGCTGCAGAGCCCCCTAGTGCCAAGCCGGGGAAACCAGCCCACTTTCCTTTCCCACAACAGCCCCACACTAGCCCCTTCCTGCCTTGCTGTAGACCTTAGACTTACAAGCTGAAACAGTGTGGGCAGCAGGATCGGAGCTGCTTCCCCCTCCCCTGCCCAAATGAAGGAATCTTCCGCTTGGCTTTTGACCAGAGGCTCTGGTGCACCTGGTCTATCTACTTTTTATCTCCCATCCCTCACTTCATTTGAAAGAAAAAACAGAAACAGAAGAATCAGAGGGCATCTTCCCCATCTCTGGGGCAGTTTGGCTTTGTCCCTTGCCCAGCCGTTGAGCTGTCCAAGGAAGAGATGAATTGTACAAAGGGCTAAGATTTAAAAAAAAATTTCCGACCTTGTCAAAATAACTCTGGCTTTAAAATAGCCATGTCATAGGATCGTTGAAAATTGACCTCATACCCTGCCTTAGCACATTGATAGCTCTGCTCAGGAGGTCTCGTCTTTCTTTGGGACCCCACCTCATCCTGCCCACCTTGTCTGGCTGGCTTCGCCCTGCGTATCTGTCAGTTCACCGCCCTTTTTGTATCTGGGCTCAGAGGGCAGCTTGGTCATGCCGTCCCCAGTGCTGGAAACAGCACACGGCCCGTAAGACATTTATATTCCTCTCTCGTAACCATCTTAACATAAGGGGTACTAGCCAGTTCTTACTGCTCTGGGCTATCCCTAATTTTCCATCTAGTCTGAGAAACCTAAAGCAGAGTGAAGGGATCTAGGAAAATCTTTTCCTTTGGCCACAGCTGGCTCCATGGGCGCATCCTTGGTTAGGGATGCTCCATGGCAGCTACTGTCAGGTGTGTATTTGGTATGATCTGTGTTCTGTTCTTGCCAGTGGCTCCCCTGGTGGCACTGCAGAAGGCAAGGGTTACCCGTGATCTAGGAGTTCCCTTCCTGGTCTCTGTCCAGTCACCCCTCCTAACTTGGACTGGTCAGGGCCTCCTTTGGACTGGCCTTGGACAGTTTTTATTATATGGGCATTCCCAGGCGGTCTCCATGGCTTTAATTGCCTTCATTCCTCCTTCTCAGCAGGCTGGCTATGCGTTCTCTCCTTCATCCCACAGCCTGCCACAAAAACAAGGACAGAATAAAGCCAGGCTGTACCAGAACTGTCTTGCTGTGTACTGCAGACTGCACCAATAACGAGTAGATGTTACTTAGCTCTTAGTGTCTGTTGGGGACCATGCTGCTTTAAGTGCTCTCTCTGCTGTGCTAAGCACCGGACACTAGGGACTCAGATATTCTGTCCCTGTTTTTCTTCAGGTTCAACAAGCTAGTGTTGCAGGCTCTGAGTTGCTGTAAGTACCTGTGTGGGAAATGAACAAACCCTCTCCCACTGACACAAACACCGTTCCTACATCTGCAGTCATAGCTGGTATTTGCACAGCCTTGTGGGAAGAGTAAACACCACTGTGGTCTTGCACCCTTGGGTGACTTCCAGTGTATTTACACCTAACTGGCTTAAGCAAAACCAGTTAGGCAGCACCCCGATTCTAGATCATGTTTGACCTTGGTGTTACTTTAGAGCAGGAGTTGCTAGCAGCTGGGGAGTGGGAACAGAGGCGGGGCACACACTGTAGCAACCCCCTGCGAGGTGGTGGTTTTCTATATAAAAAGCAAAACAAAACCTACCCCCCTCAAAGGCCCCCACACCCACTCTTTAATTTTGGGTCTCTTTGTCTCAACTTTTTTGGATTAAGGTGGGCTATCAAAAAGTTAAAAATTAGCAGTTCTAAATGTTTTGCCAGCAGAGAGTAAGTTCTAAAGTTAGCAATTTGGGAGATAATGACATACAGCTAAAATTACTCTTGGAAATCCTTTGTGTCCATCAGCCAGTAGAGGATGATACATACAGTGGTGGGAAATGTGGGAGTCGGGTGGGATGCGGTGCTCTTGCTGAGTGTGAGCGGTGTGCCGGGACAGACTTGGTGAACAGAGCGTCCCACCTGCCAGTTCACTGACAGTATGACCTGTGCTATTTAAATTATTTCCCTTCTGTCTGCACAACCACCCATCAGAAAATCGAACAGTTGCTTTACAATCTGGAATTTTCAGATGTCTATTAAGTAGTATAAAGGGACTAATCTAGTTCTTAAAACATAAATTAAAAATCAGTTAGTTACCCAACAGTAAAAGGTAGAGCAAGGTTGTATTTAAACTGTCAGCTTCCTGCCCATTAAGTTACCACACTGGCCCAATGGAGTGAGGTCTGGTGGGAGGGTATGGATGAAGCCAGGCCTGGCTCCCCAGCCTCCCCCTTCTGGGACCGGGCTGTGGTCCTTCCTCACAGAACTGGCTATGCAGGAAGCGGAGCAGGATTCTGCTACAGGCTGTGTGGCCTGCACAATCGACTCTCCTCCTACTTTAGGCCTGGATGCCTCTCTCAGCAGAGATGATGACTTGGCTACCCTAGCACCCAAGCTGGGACCTTTTGTCTGAGCTCTTTTCGATGACCAGTAGTCTTGGCTCTGGGTCCCTTGACTTGCTTCCATTCTGTGCCCTGAAGAAGTTTTTTATTGCAGGGGGTCTCAACAGGAAACTGCTGGCACACCCAAAATGAGCGAATTCGAGGAGGATTTACTACAAGGGTAAAGGAGCAAGCCCTTTTCAATATTTTTGTGGCCCAGGGCCCATATCTTTGTTCATATCGATTACATGTTCAAATATTTGTGGATATCTTGAGTTAAAATATAAAAAATAAATTTTACTTTGTAAAAAGCAACTTTATTAAGAAATAATTTACATACTGTAAAATTCACCCGTATTAAGTGTAGCATAGATTTTTTAATTTCCTGAACTGTGCAGCAGTCACCACAATCCAGTTCTAGAACTTTCTTATCACCCTCCATTATATGATCCCTTTGTGGACATGGATTGTTTTCAAGATCCCCAGGTGATTCTATCCTGTGGCTGGGAAATGGGAAAGTGATGTAAGGTGGCCCAGGTGCTGGAGCACCTAGTTGACATTGAAACAGATGTGAATGGAATTTAGAAGTATGTAAACGAGCATTCACAGGGGCAGTTTTGGCTGTGGTGAGACAAAGGACACCAGTGGGTGAAATGGGTTGTGGAAGCCCAGGTTTGGGCCCAGAAAGGTTCATCTGGGCTATGGATAGTGCTGGGGGGAGAGAGGGAGGGGTAAGGAAATAGTGGGGCACACTCCACATTTCCACCTGGAAGGAGGATCCTGTGCCTCCCCTGAGTCCAAACTTCCTGTCTCTGCTGGAGATTAGGAGGGGAGGTGGAGGATGGGAACTGGGGTGGGGGGGGAGTATGCAAGACCCCCTGCATGGCCCAGAGCCAGGTACCTGGGAGTCACTTTTACCAGAGGGGTGAAATACCACCTGAGACACAGTGGGGCAAAAGAAGAGAATGAAGGACCCAGGGGTTCTCT